AGCATAATGATTTGCAATTGCTCACAAATTTTATACATCATTTCGAATTAAGGGTCGTCAGCTATTCGGTCATCAACGCTTATTGCACATTATAGCATTTTCAAGTAATTACTGTGCAATTAACTGCTTGAAGGACTAAGGGATACCACCGGCTCAACCCATAATCTTACTGAACCTATGCAAACCCTACGGCTTTGGCTCCATAGCTCAGGGGTTAGAGCACTGGTCTTGTAAACCAGGGGTCGTGAGTTCATATCTCACTGGAGCCTGGGAAGACTTTTTCTGAAGATACTCTGCTATATATGATGAACAAGCACAGCCAATGGCCTTTCAACATGCAGTACAATGCCATGAGAAACCACAAGTATATACCAAAGCTGTGATGATCAATGTTGCTCTTCAGGATGCATGTGCATGTTGCTTTATGTTTCAACCACAACTGAAAAAAAATAGCTTAAGCCAAAAATAGCTCAGCGGGGCTCAATCTTCCCATTTTTTTGGCTACAAGCCAGTCAGGCTAGTGACAGAAAAAAGTCACTAGCCTGCAGAAGATTTACAAGCCCAACTGAAAAAGACTGGAATATCACATGAAATTTAATGGCAAAGGTACAAACTTTATTTAAATATTTTATATAGATCAAAAAGAAATTTAAATAAATGAAAAACACCGACATTTTATATGAAATAGATCGTTTCATACATCTTGTGTCCATTACGTACGCTGCCCGACCAAAAAAAAGTCACCACCTGGATTTAACTACGCAAAAAGGCAAGAGCCTTCCGTTGGATAATTACTGCAGTGATGAATATGTTTCAGCTGGCAACAAGTTATCTAATCCTAACTGATGCAGTCAGTTGCTTCTCATTTCTTAAACAAGCATGTTGGCAGACATATCCTGTGGCCGTGGAGAAGATGTCACTCCATTTCAGCAGGGTCAAACTATTGGCCTGCATCAAGCAAAGAAAACAACTGCGGAGACTGCTAAAACTACTATAATTTGGTTAAGAAGGTGGGTGTGAAGATTGAGCTCTGAGCTCGTAACCTGAGGAAATGAGTTCATATCTTCCGAAGACTTTTTAAAGGACTTGACAGACTAACTAAACCAGTGCTCATACAGCACAATATCCCCCACCGGGCTCGGTAATAATGAGCAAATCCAACACAGCATCTCAGGATTCCTCTTTCAGTCACTGGCCAATAATAATACATTAAATACTAGGAGACTATCTGAAAAAGTTGCAAGATAAATATCATAAGTGGATAGCATTGGCATGGCATTGCTGGTAAACTATTTTAATCTGATCAAAAATATAATATACACATTATTATGAATTCAACTTTAAAAATGCGATATGCGCATAACCAATATATGCTTCTCATTTTTGTAAAGTTTCATGAAAATCCCTCAAAAAATGAGGGAGGAGTTGATTTCAGAACATAAGCACCCTTCCCGGGACGTGCAGACAGACGGGCGGACGGACATCGCCACGACATAATCCCACTTGGGCCTCCGACCGGGGAGGGATAAAAAGGCAGAGGACCATAAGTCCATGCCACTATACCAGGACAGGAACTCATACGGCAGGTGCTGCATACATGTATATACTATAATTGGGAGCATATAGAATATATTCAGCAGCCGAAATGAATGATACCTCAGTGGATCGGGATACGGTCGTGTTTACAGCACTCACTTTTCCTGTAGCGCCTTCACCTGCTCCTCTTTTGCCTGAAGCTCAGTCTTCAAGGTTTTAATGGCCGCGGTGTGTTTTGTGACCTCGGTACAGGCACTCTGAGAGATGAACACAACACGGGCATTGATACATAGCGAAGTAGCTCAACAGTTTTCACCAGTGCCCGTGGGAGACTGACTGAGACGGAGACAGTATGACCGTTGGATTATATACTACATGCACGTGGACGCGTTTCTCCCTGTGAGCATGTAAAACAGGACCAGCTCCGACACAGAGGTGTAAAGAGAGAGTCACTGCTAGGTAATTCTAACCCTTACAAATCCATCTCCCGTGAGCATGTTCAGCAACAACAAATCGGTCTCTTTGGTAAAAGTAACAGGCAAGTGACCCTCCAATTGCACCACGCTGGACCCCACTGGATTCAAAATGTGAACTGTCTAAAACTACATAGCATGCATTGATTGGACTTAGGCATCAACGATCACAACAGCTAAAAAGAAAAAAAAAAGCTTTACCCTCCAGTACAGAAGAGGGCAGCAGTGTGCTGAGCATTTTGTTCAACAAACAGCAGAAGAACAGAGAAGAGGAGCCTCAAGCACCAACAATACTTTCCTTTCCTCAATAATGACTGGAGGGCAGAAGCTTTCGCAGTCTATTAAAATAACGGACACGATTTACTGAACCACCCTTCTCAGTAACTGAACTTCAATTATAAATAATAAACTGCCTACGAGGGCGTATGCGATACAAATATCGTCTGCAGGCTGGCTAAGCTGACTGTAAGAGGAGAGCTGCTGTCTGTCGTCATGGGGAAAGGCAGCTGCCGTCCAATCACAGACAGGACAGCGCATTTGGGCGGACCTATACTGTAGAGAGCGACCCTCACCTTCAGCTTAGCCTGCAGGGCCTTCAGCTCGGCCTCGGCTGTGTTTTGGGGTTCGGGGGCTGGGGCCGGGGTCTGGGGGGGCCTCCGCTTCAGCTCCTCCAGCTCACGCTCCAGATCACCCCTCCGCTGCTCCGCGGCAGCCAGGTCAGAGGTCAACTTCTGCTCAAAGAAACATTAAAAAGGACAATAGCTGATGCCGTTATATAAAATGACTGGCTTAGACTAAACAGGAGCTACACTGGTGCTTAAACCAACAACCTTCTGGTGTAAGTGTTAAAAAAAAAAAAACTATTTTCCCCAGAAAGACTACATACGACACCTAACTGCATGTCAACTTTTAACTTCAACAGTACGTTTGTGTTATTTCAGTTCTGCTTCAACAGAAGCTTTAACTCTATTCCCCATAAAGACCACGTATTGTATGACACCTATATGTGTATCAATGGACCTTTTCCCTCGCCTCCCCATTGATTAAAAGTGGGGATATTGCCAAGGTGTCAAATGTCGTCTTCATTGATATGGCCAGGGTCCTAATTTGTAGGCATTATGAGGAAGGGAGGGGGAGGGGGAGTCTATAGGGAAAAGAGTTAAACGGAAACTTCACCTTAAAATAAAGCTGAGCATTATCACTTATCAGGAATGTTATCGAATCGCCCAGAGAATTTTAATAAGACTGGATGAGTATACAGCAGGGGTCACCAACTCCATCCCTGGAGGGCCACCATCCTGTAGGTTTCTGCTCTACCTCCTATTCGGCACACCTGATTCAACTAATTAGCTACTTAATTGCCCAGCTTCGTGATCTTGTTAAGTAGCTAATTAGTTGAATCAGGTGTGCTGAATAGGAGGTAGAGCAGAAACCTACAGGATGGTAGCCCTCCAGGGATGGAGTTGGTGACCCCTGGTACACAGTATTTTGGAGTGTGGAGCCCAACACACTAAACTTTTTGAGGTTATTCTGGGACTTAACCAAACAAACGTACTGGTTCTAGCTGAGCATCTAAGCCATGAGGCCAAAAGCAACACCCCATTGAATAGGCAAGCAAAAAAAAAAGAACAATTTAGGGCAGTGGTCTTCAACGTCGTTCCTAGGGACCCAGTGTGTATGCTGGTTTTTGTTCCAGCCACAATTGTAATCGCAGGAATTTAACAGTGCATTTAATTTTTCGAGCAGTTATTTACCCTCCTAACTCACAAGTTAACAGAAATATCTATGTTTGCCATCAAGATGAAGAAATACCATACCCACATTGCGATGTACTGGAAATAACAGCATAAAATGAGAGAAAACACTGTAACCAATCAAATTAAAGTTGGTTCCTAATTGGTGAAAACTAATTGGCACATCATGACAAATTTATTCAACAAGCAAATGATACAGTCAAACCAGTTATGCGTTATGTTAATCTAATTAAGTTCACCAGAAGTTTACTGAAAGAACTTGAAACAGTTGTGTCCAGCAGCCTAATTTTGGGTTAATGAATTTCCTCAGTGTCTAATTTCATTTGTTCAAAATGTTATATTACTTGAAATTTCTTGCAGTATAGAAATAAACACACTATCTTCTAGGGCAGGGCTGCCCAACCCTGTTCCTGGAGAGCTACCATCCTGCAGGTTTCTGCTCCGACCCTAATTCAACACACCTGATTCAGCTCATCAGCAGCTCAGATCTGTAACGGGGAAAGCAGGTGTGGTTTGCTTTGGTTGGAGTGAAAACCTTCAGGATGGTAGCTCTCCAGGAACAGGGTTGGGCAGCCGTGCTTTAGGGTATTTTATTCTTCATAGCATGTATGGATGTGACTATGTAACATTTGGCTAAAGAGGGTAATTAACAACTCTAAACATGAAAAACACCTAATTAAGACATTAACAGCTTGTTAAAATCCTGCCATTACAATTGTGGTTGGAATAAAAACCAGCATACACAGTGGGTCCGCAGGAACGACGCTGAAGACCACTGATTTAGGGTGTGGGTGAAATACCTCATTAATTAATTCACACCTCCCAACGATCGCTGCCATGTGGAGCCTCTCTCAAATTCATTGTGACTGTTCTTGTGGTGACATCACACCCTGCTCAGTTGACCTGACCTCTGTGGTCCTGACCTATGACCTTAACCATCTATGATCCATTATGTATAATATACCTGGCTCCATGGCTCAGGGGTTAGAGCACTGGTCTTGTAAACCAGGGGTCGTGAGTTCAAATCTCGCTGGGGCCTTCATTTCTTAGAACCCACCATTCTACAAACAGATGATAATTAAGAATGCACAAGCTAATACAACAGGTAAGTCCACAACGCGAGCATTGTAGGTTCCAATTCCATTAGACACATTTGTTGCATCCATCCTTTCCATTGCAACCCACTCTACCCATTTCAAATTGTGCAGCGTATATCTGAATGAGTATAAGCAGATGAGGCTCTATAACTCAGGGGTTAGAGCACTGGTCTTATAAACCAGGTGTCATGAGTTCAATTCTCACTAGTGCTCACAGTTTTTGAATAATGGAGTTACCCCAATACACATTCCAAATGCTCTCCCTCACAGAGAGGACAATCCCTCCCACTGTCCAGGTGGAACACCTGACACATCTCTGAGAGGCACGTTAAGATGGGTTATTCGTCCCAGATTCAAATCCAGAAATCTCATAGGTTTTGATCAGAGCCACTTGCTTTTAGAAATTATACATCCGTTTCAAGGGGTCTCAATCACTTTGTTTGGAAGGAGATAAAGAAAGTTTGACAGCAAATTGGTATCAGTTGTTCCATAAGGGAGACAGGCTGGCATGCCTAAAAAAAAAAGAAAAAAAAAAAAGTCAACATCAAACAACATTCATCTCACCTGGAGTCATCCGGCTGGTTACGGTGACCAAGGCCAAACATAAATAAATGTACAATGCAAGGGACACCTCTTGTAGGCTAGATTGAAGAGCAGGAAAAAGTCTGATGATTTTATTTGAAAAAAAAAAAACTAAAAACTGGCACCTTTAAAAGGACTGTGCAAGTGAAAAAAAACTGGAGGAACTATAAGGACAGAGCAAACCCTGTGAAAGTGAACAGTTGTCCAACAGTTGGATACTCCAATCCCCCACTAATGTCCCCATTCTTAATACAGCCATTAATATGAAGAATGATAAAAAGCACAATCTCATAATCGCTGCTATTTTCTCACATCTGCCACTGTTAAGCACTTCTGTCACAGCGAGGAACAAAGACTAACTCCCCAGTCAGAGAGGAGAGAGATGCAGAGGTCAATTCTGAGAGGCTAATTACCGCGGCGTTCTGAGGAACTCGAGATGTTCATTCTCTCCACACAAAGAGCTCAAGCATTTTAATTATGAACAGAGAACTCCACAGAGACAGACAGACAGAGAGACGGACAGACAGGAGGACATAGAGCTGATTAGGAAAGATCATACATACTCGTACAAAGAACTTTTTGTCACGTGGTCAGAAGAGCCTTGGATCTTCCTGGAACATCAGAATCTTCTCATCAAATATAACCATGATGGGATCAGGCTTTGTGATTTACCACACTTTATGTACAGCCCGCCGAGATGACTTATTTCTCATTTTTTTCATGCAGAACTTCTCTCATTTTTATCAAGCATGTGAATAATCTCATAGTATTCATCTTTATTATATGATGTAAGGATTTGCTCTCTCCCGATTGGTCAAGGCGAGCTCCGCCAGTCACTGTAAACAGTGATATTCGCCACAGGAAAATTCGCAAGAGGTGAATATAACAACCAGATGACCTCCAGCTAAAAATACACTGGGCTTCCCCGCAGGAGCTCCTGACAGCGTCTGTATTTCGTGTCACTTCGTCCCTGTGAGGAGCTTTACGTAAGAGTGGTCGCCTTTATTTTATATTTTCAAGTAGGGTCATAAAATAAAAGTTTTTTTGACATAAGTTATTGATGAATCCAATGATTTATCCACCTTGGACAAGTAATATTCACCGCAACCACACCTCAGTGAATATCACTTGTCCAAAGAGGATAAATCATTGGATTCACCTCAACTGAAGTCAATAATTGCGAATTGTAATAAGCAACAGGGAAAGTCAAAATTAACCAGAAAATTGCACTATCTAAACAAAAACTGCTGGGCAGAAAATAATTTGATAAGGTGTCAGTTATTCATGCCCTAATTCTCTGTGCGGTGAAAAATGTTCATTCATAAGAGCAAAAGCAGCGAGTCGACCTCAATTACTTCGAGATCAGGGAACGTGTTCACAATGGAGCTTGGTCAGTGATAATCCTCCACAGTGGATCCTCGGAGATCCGTTAGACATTCTTGATCAAGCTTGTAGACTGTCCTTTTCATATCAAATGTAAAATTTCAGTTTTAATCCAAACAGAAATTAGTGTGAAAATGCAAAACCGGCAGTTTGGTTAAAAACACGGCACTGAATGCGATCTTATGACACTTCCACACACGGATCTCCCATCGTCTCAGAGCCACAAAAAAATTCCAGATTTTTCCATACCATCAGTCCCAAGACCCTGGGGTGAGCACCAATATTTTTTTTAAACATTCTAATAAAAAATATCCAAATAATTACCATTATAAAGAAGTAATAATAAAGGAAAAAGAAATACTAAATTTGAATACAGATGTTTGAAGTTGAGTCTGATTCTGAATGCATTTACATAAATAAAGCAGGGGAAGAGCCCTTTACAGTTTAAAGCCACTGTTAAAAGGCCCATATCCCTCAGGGGCAGAGCCAGAACTGTGGGACGCCTTTACTGCAGTTCTGTTCTTGGCACACTGGCGCCCATTTCCTTAATTAAATAATTACACTGATTGATCTTCTTCCTCGTTAAGCCATGAGAGATGTAAATAGGACATTCTGCGTATACCTAGGGCAAAAACAGACTCAAAGTAACTTAGAACAATGGAACACCATCGCTGAAACTGCTGCACCGACAGCCAATCCACGGCAAGACCACTAGCTGCGACCTTCGCATTGTGATGTCACAAATGCTTGATTAGAATATCCTTGACCAAGCTGTTCCGACCCCAGTGGGTCCGTCTCCATTCCCCCGTGGTTTAATCTCTCTCTGTCTCCAAATATTTGTCATTCATGCGAATTACTCTGTGTGAGCCCTTGTTTTTCATTGGTGCTCAACCCAGCCCAGCCTATCACCAGCCTCCTGTCTGCTCCGCTGCCTGCTCGCTGACGTGCCTGATTGGTCCGGTGTTCCTGTCCTCCTCCAATCTCGGATCAACACACCGCGTTTCTTCTATAAAGCGATCTGTCAAACGCACGTTCGAGACGGCTGTGATTCAATGTGAGCAGCCTGCCCCGTTCTGTTAGACTCTATGATTACCCGTTGTCTCGCGTGCCTAGATTGTTGAAAATCGTATGAAGTATAATGACTTGAATCTGTAACTTTCACTCTGATGGTTACTCATTATTTTGTCAGTTGTATGAAGTATTGATTGTTTGACAGTCATATGAATTATAATGACTCGAATCTGTAACTCACACTCCAGTGGTTGCTTGTTGTCTTTGTAAGTACCGATTGTTAGACAATCATGTTTTTAAACATGCTCATTTGGGTGAGTTAAGGATTACTGTCCATGATGTTGAATCAGTTTTGATTAACCTTGATACAAATAAAGCATGTGGGCCTGACGAGTTACCGGCTCGGATTTTAAAAGAATGTGCTCATGAATTAGCTTTGTCGGTTTGTAGTCTTTTTAACAAATCTCTTCAAACTGGAGAATTACCACTTGATTGGCTAAGAGAAAATGTTATTCCAGTCCATAAAAAATCCGACAAAGAAAATGTGAGTAATTATCGACTGGTATTGTTATTATGCATTTGTAGCAAGGTGCTGGAAAGGTGTATACTTAATTTTGTCTATCCTCATGTAGTGCCTGTTTTGCATCACCGACAACATGGTTTTGTTCAGGGTCGGTCGACAACAACTCAGTTAATCCAGGTATTTCACGAAGTTGGTAAATTCTTAGATCAGTCTGGGCAGATCGATATTTTATATCTAGACTTTTCATCTGCTTTCGATTCCGTCCCCCATGACTTACTATTACATAAACTCCAGACATATGGATTTCATGGCAATCTTTTAAAGTGGTTTACGTCGTATTTATCCAATCGTAAACAAAGAGTTGCTGTCGATGGTGCCCTATCATCCTGGTCTCCCATTAAATCAGGAGTTTCACAAGGATCAATTTTAGGTCCTTTGATGTTTCTGCTGTATATTAATGACATGCCAGACTGTGTAAGTCCTGAGACTAAGGTTGCCTTGTTTGCGGATGATTCTAAAAACATAAGAGAAATCAGAAACACGCAAGACTGTTCACAGCTGCAGTGCGACCTAGAAAACATCTTGGATTGGAGCCGTAAATGGGACATGAGATTTAACGCTGGTAAATGTAAACTATTGAGCATTACAAGGAAGCGAATTCCCATTCTTCATCATTACACAATGAACGGTAATTTAATTGAAAAAGTTGACTGCATGCGTGATGTTGGGATTGTGGTGTCATCAAATTCATCATGGGATGCACATGCAAATGTCTTGGTCAGTAAAGCAAATCGCATGCTTGGATTAATTCAAAGAACTTGCGGTCATATGTCTTCAGTTCAAACTAAACGAAAACTGTATATTTCGCTTATAAGACCACTTTTAGAATACTCCCCCCAATCTTGGGCCGTTTCATCAAAAAAATCTCTCCTTCATACTGAAGGTGTGCAACGGAGAGCCACTAAGTACATTCTTGGTTATAATGATCGTGTTGGAAGCAATTACAAAGCCCGACTAATGAAGCTTGATCTTTTACTGCTGGCCTACAGACGTGATATATTTGATTGTGTATTCTTGTGCAAATGCTTCAAGGGTGAATATGATATCAACTATAACCATTTTGTTTCATTTCAAAATGAGGACACATTTTTAATGAAAATTCCAAAGTTTAGGACTGAAACTTTTCGCCATTCTTATTTTAACAGATTATTTTATTTGTGGAACGCCAGTCACCTCTATCAAATTTCTGACACTACAGCTGCTTTTAAATTGAAGCCATTTCATTTTTATACAGAAAAGTTTAATAACTATTTTTCTTCTGATGATTCCTGTACATGGGTTGGCAAATGTCATTGTTCATGTTGCCGTCTGTCCCTCTGACGTTACTTACACTTGCTAGTATACTGTCTTATTTTATTTATTTATTTTTTTTTTTTCTCTTTGTTCAATTGTCAGTACATGTCGCGGGATGATCGCCTCACAATAGGTGCCTTGCCACCTGTGCGATCACTTCCTGACTTCTGTCAAAGCTTAATAAATAAATATGAATTATAATGACTCGAATCTGTAACTTACACTCCGGTGGTTACTCGTTGTCTTTGTAAGTACCAATTGTTAGACAATCATATGAAGTATAAGGACTTGAATCTGTAACTCGTTCGCCGGTGGTTACTCGTTGCTTTACTGATTGTTAGACAACCGTACAAAGTATAAA